TTCAGAAATCAATTGATCAATGTTATGAACAATTTGTACATGGAGATGAACCGCCGCACAAGCGGAATAGGTATCTACGAGCTAATATGAGAATTAAAGTAATAGTTGAAGATTTTGAAAATCGAGAACTAATGGAATCCCTGAAAGGTGTGGCGCATAATTTTGCAATGGATTAGTATAATAACAGTTCTGTGATGTAATCTTATTTATCTCTAATTTTATTTATGTGTAATCTTATGTATCTGTAATCTTATTTATCTGTAATCTTATTTAGCTGTAATTATATTTGTCTGCAATATAATTTCTTTGTAACCATATGTTTATTTACCATTTCTGTATTTTGCCTTTTTGATGCTGTTTTGTGAAATAAATAAATAAAAAAAAAAAAACAACCTCCCTCATGTTCCGGGGCCTTGACGTTGGCGAAGGGGCTTCTCACTAATCTGGGACACAAAAAATATCTAGAACACTTTCACACATATATTTATTTCAAATATGCATGCAAACAATCGCTAATTCAATAAATAAAAATCAGTTATATTAATTATTTATATTACTTCATATTTATTCTAAAAATAAATAAAAATAGAAAAAAAATATGGCGTCGAACTGCCCCTGCGTCAAAACGTACGGCGTCGAAACGTTGGCGTCGAAACGACCTGCTTCGCTTCTTTGTTTCTCTGTATCCTCTTGTGAGCATGTTCGAACACCTTACTGAAGAAACAGTCTTTTTACACTGCTTATTAAAGATTTTTCACAGCAATGCTTTACACATGGAGTTCTCTGTTTGGTGCGTCAACTATCTATCCCTGTGAATTATGCAAAGAGAGGAGATGCGTCAGTGAACTCCTCTCTGTGTTGTCTTTGGTACTTTACAATATTCTTCTTTGCAAACGTCTTACGCCGCCAATTTTCCTCATACGTGTATCCCTGATGCAGATCCTTGATACAGATCCTTGATACAGATCAATTGATGCAGAAAAACAGTGGGTGTTGCCTCTGGAAAATTTGGAAATTTTTTCTTTGTAAGTATAGCTGTGAGAGCTTTATTATTTTAAATCATCACAATCTCGAGAGAATACTTTCAAATAACAATATTGGAAATTTCATTCGATTGGTTGAGTGGATAGGCCACTAGTGTTTACTATATCGGAGCATTTTTAAGACTACCCTATATGTATCTGCATTGAACATTTGTGAAACCCAACTAAAAGCTATAAAATAAAGGAAAAATAATAATATAATAAAGGAAAAATAAATATATGCATCAGTCCCAAATGTCGCCAGTAGCCAGATGATATACTAGTGCATCCTCGTTTGTATTGATCTTCCAGAAGGTGTTGCATATATTCATTCTCAAACATACACGTTCCTTTAGAAGTTTTTAAATAGCTAGATGGCACTTCGTGTGCACTAAAGTTAGCTTATTTGAACATATACATTGCTGACCTTATGCCCAATTGAAGTACTTCTGATTCCGGTGATTCGTTTAGATTAACGAGCAGATGATATAATGTATGCAAAACCCAGCTGATGTGCAGTTGGCTTCACGTGATATAAACATTGAACAGTTTCCGATGCTTCAATGTTTTTTCCTTATGTGAAGATTGCGAGTGGAGCTGTGCAGTTAGGAACTCCGCTTGTATTCAGTTTGCATCTTCTTTAGATAGCAGACGAAAGTTTTTTGCACTGTGTAGTAGAGTTAAACTAATAGTGTGATGTCTAAAAGAAAGAAGGTTTTAACAGAAGAAAATGATATTCGAATTATAAAGCTCATGAGTGCTATTTCGAGCCCATGCGTGGCTATTTTGAGACCAAAATCTCTAGATTTAAGTGAGAATAGCGATACTGATACCAAAATTTTCTCAGAGACTGAATTGGAAGTTTGCTTTTCTTTCACCTCACAATCCAGCAGAACAGTGGGCACTCCGTCATGAACTCGATCAGTTAACTAATTGCAGCCGTATGAATTTACGGAAATTGCAGAAGTAGACTTAACTCAAAGTTATGAAAATGACATCGAATTTTACTCCATTTTTTTCGATAATCTAATGAACATAATAGTTGAAGAAACTAATAATTTCTATGAACAAAATATGAGCGAAAACGCATCTTCAACCAAAATCGACGTACTCTTGTAGATGTGACAAAAACGAGGGGATACCTAGGATTAATTAATCTGTTGGATTGGAATAAATAAAAAGTTCGACCTGAAAATGTGTTTCATAACTAATAAAATGATAGTGACAAGATAATCACACTTTTTTATCTCATTCTGATTCCTTTATGCTATAATATTTGATCATATATTTTATTATACATTCATGTCCATAAATTAAGGATAATTCGGTGTCACGCGGAAATCGAACTCTAAAATAAATATATCACCTGTAAAATCACTACACACATCTTCAAGAATCATATGCAAATTTCAGGAAGTAACCAGATGACACCGATGGTACGTCACAATGACGAGAGTGTAAGAAAGGGATATATAAGGAATACAAGCAAAGAAGTAAAATTGTCCGCACGCGCTTTATAAGCATTTCAGTGCAATAACTGAATAGTTATGACACAAAGAACGTATTTGGATGATTTTTTACGTAGTAGAATTATCATCCGTCTGGAATGTGGGCGTACCCAACTGGAAGTATCAGACGAACTTGGAATTGCCCAGAGTGTCATATCCAGGCTTTGGCAACGATTCCAAGATGATGGTAATGTGAGTAGACGTTACAGCACAGGTCGCCCCAGAGTTACAACGCCGAATGAGGACCGGTATTTGGCAGTTACTGCCAAAAGAAACAGACGGAGCACAGCCTCAGACCTGTCTCGTCAGCTCTCTTCAGCCACTGGTACGACAATTTCAAGGCAGACCGTGTACAGACGCTTAGGGCAGATTGGTCTATATGCTCGTAGACCTGTCAGATGTGTTCCACTTACTGCAACTCACTGTCGCTTGCGGTTAGCCTGGAGTAGAGATGCATGCATTGTGGACACAGCAACAGTGGGCTTGTGTGATGTTTTCAGACGAGTCCAGGTTTAGCTTGCAGTCTGATTCTCGCCGGACTTTCATATGGAGAGCTCCAGGTACCCGTTACCACCAAGAAAATATCATTGAACGACACCGTTACGGTGGTGCAGGAGTGCTCGTTTGGAGTGGAATTATTCTGGGTTCCAGAACTGACCTGCATGTTCAAATTGGAACCATGACAAGCCAAATCTATCGGGACGTCATTCTGGAAAAACATATACGTTTTTTACTGGGCGCAATGGGCGCACAATTTGTGTTTATGGATGACAACGCCCATCCTCACCGTGCAAACATCGTAAGCGAATGCCTTCAATCGGAGGATATCACACGTATGGACTGGCCAGCATTCTCATCGGACTTGAATCCAGTAGAGCACGTGTGGGACATGCTTGGCCGACGAGTTGCAGCCCGTGAACCTCCTCCTACATGTCTACCGGAACTTCGGAGAGCATTGCTTTTTGAGTGGTGTAATATCCCCCAAGATCAGATCGATAATTTGATACTCAGCATTCCTAGGCGTTGTACGGACTGTATTGCATCGTCTGGGAGACATACAATGTATTAACAATCATACCAACCATGTAATATTGGTTTTTTGTAAATAGTTTTTTTTGTAATTTCCTCCAGGGAGAAAAAATCGCTAATTTTTTTAATAATATCAAACATATAGCATCTTTTTTTGCTCTTTACCTTTTGTTTAATAAATAAGCTTTACAAATAAGTCAAATTTGTTTTGCTTCTAACTCTTCCTTTACCTAATTTTGCATCATCCTTAATTTATGGACATGAGTGTATTTTACGTATGTTAGATAGAAATTTAAGTTAAGTTTTTTACAACATTTCATCAAGCTGAGTCAAATATTTTATTTTTCATTTAGATTTTAATTACATTTTTTTTTCAGAATCTCTTGATATTCTGTATTTGTGATTATATTCGTGTTAGATACCATTATAAAAAAATCAAAACAATTGATAAAAATCTTTTTAATGATATATATATTTTTTTTAAATTTAGGCTTAGCAACGCGAAATATGCCGTCTTGCGAGATCGTCCTACTGCAACAACACACCATCTTCAAGGTGAGTTGCGCTAAGCGGTGTGCCATCTCGTAAGAGGATTAAGTGCTGATGCATCTATGATGACCCGTTCTGAAGGGGTTAATGCACTTCATGATACCACATACAGAGGAAATGGCCATGCAACTGTAACTATTACTTAAACAGGTAATCCAAAGCACCATCTAGATGAGCGCGCAGACGAGTGCTCAAACAATGACGAATGCAGACATGCGATAATGATGTTCTTTTCTCTTCTTATTTTTTTAAAATTTCATGTAAATGTATTGTAATTTAGTAGTAATTCGATGTTTACTAGTGATGGTTTTCTACATTTGGTGTCCACCCATAGATACGAGTATAGTATGAATATCATGTAAAGAGGAAAAGTTATCTCATTTCTAGCGTACAGCGAGTAAACTTGAAAGACGAGATATCTCGTCCGCCGCTACGAAAGTGTCAAAACTAGAGTAATTTGTTCTAATATTAGAGATTCCCTCCCAGTGGCAGGCTCTTGCCATTGGGGGCAGAACTGGTGGCCATTTCATTATGGAGGCACCTAATAAGCTGTCACCTCTACCTTCTAGGAAGGGACAGACAATTTTATATCCATGCCTTCTCCGGGATTCAAACCCAGACCGTTTGGTGTCGCAGTCAGGCTCCTCTAAACACGATAACGTCTGGGCGGCATATTAGACATGTGAAGGCGGACTAAATCGAAAAAAAATTCGCATTGCATTTCAATATATTTCCTTGAGGCTTCTTTACATTAATCGAGCATTGAGCTATCTTTCATGTCCTAATAGATTTAAGAAAAGCTATGTGAAAACTGAATTTATAGCATTAGTGTTAATTTGAGTATTATTTCATAGAGGATATTATACAAAAAGAATAATATTACAAATATTACCGTATCTCCTTCTCTTGGTTGTGGAGGATCGATAGATATTGTTACATTTGGTGGAGGAACTGAAAATAAAAAAGAATATAATAAATGAGAAGGAAAGGCTATTGGAGTAGAATAAATACTATCTCATACATACTACATGCACATTTTTAGTATATGAGCCATATACTCCTTTGTACATGGTTTACTAATAAAAATTTTTTACATATATATTTGTAAAATACGTATGGATGGTAGTAATTAATAAGTCAGTATGGAACCGATAATCAACATAACGAGCAGCTTTAGGTTTATTGCTTCTCATATATCTGGTGAAAATCGTGCAAAAGGGATCTGTGATAGTAAATTCATTTATTAATATCTCCGCTATTTTTGTCACATCAATATATATTGCGCTTTGTATTTAATTTATGAAGTTATATTTTTATACCAGTCGAAGGGCAGATGTACCAGCTTGCCAATACCAGCTTTGAAGCCATTTCATTGAAAATACTGCAATCTATGGAATAATATCTAAAGAACAGGCTGATAGGTGAATGGCAATTATTGAAAACAAATACTGAGTACAATTATATAATACTTCATTGTTTACATAAAAAGTACATGATGTGCTTTTGAAAAGGTGTCTGACTGCATACTAAATTATACGTAGTTCGTAGTTCATTCCGTATAACTGGGCACTTAACCATAAGTTCTGAAATGAATCTTCTGGCTGTCAGTTACGTTAATTCTATAGCTGCGTCAGAATATAGACATCCGTTATGCCAGCGTATCATGTAGTTTCAACAACTTTACATCGATGCATCATGGAAAAATACTTAGAAATGTACTTTCCACACGAAAATCTATCAATTAATGCCAGAGAGTTGTTCACTGTGTTAAAATAAATTCAATGATGTTTTAAATTCTCATAGCGTCAAGAAAAATAATAACAGCTATAAGTTGCGAATATAATTGTTGAAATAGTTTACATAAGAATAGAAACGGGTGAGAGTACATTTCTGTAACAGTCTTTTCATAATACAATATATGATCAAATCGTGCAAGCGGCCGAGCTTTTAAAGTACCGTTATAAATGGAGACTCTGCTGTACATTGTTAATAATTTTGTTACCAAAAGTATGATACACATAAGTATACGAACAGATGAACACATTACTATGACAGTCAGTTCACTATGTGTAGAATAAATTTTCAGATACACTGAGTTCTTAAAACACTACCAAAATGACAGAAAGACTACCAAGATGACCAAAATGACAATTGCTACAACCTAATGTACTATACTACACTACTACTAAATTTTGCATCAAATTTACTTGCTATTAGAGTGTTTTTACACCAATACGTCAAACAAATTTACTTCAATATCAGCACCAACACAACAATTACTCTTTTACAGGAGACTATAATAATTACTGTGTCAAACTGTTCACTTAAGAGAACAAGTTTTTGATTAGATGTTTTAATATACAGAATAAAAGTTAACACTTATATTGATCGAACGGTGCTCACTAGTGGCTGAGTCAATAAGACCACTGAATGCTGGTAGTTTGAACGGGTTAAAACCCAAACCGAATGGTGGCTGCATGATTAGTTCTCGTTCTATTCCCTGTGCTGAACGTAAATGAGATTCAGTTTAATATAGACATTCTTCCAGTATTTCTGTTTCTATGCAGATAGGTCTTCTGTGCTTTGCCATATTCAAATAACCTAAGGTATTTAGAAAACCCTCTTATCCACAATGCTTTCCTAAAATTTTAGACTATTTAAAAATTGTGTAGTTAGAAATACATGTATTCGAAGAATTTATGGAAATAAAGATGTGAAACCACCTTTTTTTCGAACACTGTATATATAAAATACGTGTATTGCTGTCGAAGTTTGATTATTGAGGCATTAATTTTAAGATCTAATCAAGAAATTACTGTTGTTTTCAAAACTTAGCGAATTTTATAAACTAACGTATTGTATTAACTTTTCGAGGCTTTAACACTTTCAACGTTAAGATTAATTATCCAGAAGTGAAAGAATCAGAAACTGATAAATTTGTCCCATCTTCTCGGGCTTAATGTTCCGCCTTTACATATCTTTCAGCACTACAGTTGCAATAAACATATATGCTCTCTATAGCTATCTTATATATTAAAAGAGACTTGTTGTGTTCCGAAATTTTAAAATAAAATGTTAATGTCGCTACAGAAAGTAAAATGGTATCCTAATTAAGTTAAATTGAATGAGGAGGGATTGCAATGTTATCACGTTCAGACAGAAGGAGACTGTGAAACAAATGATGATTTATGTTATAGCAAAAGCAAACAGTCATAAAATCCACATCTAAAAAAAAATCCATATTACAGATACCCAGAGAAGTAAAAAGAATAAGCAGCGACGTTTCAACATGGCTTAGTTCGCTTATTATTCAAATTATAATAATTTATGTTTTAATTTTATTGAAACATTTATTAGCTAAGTCCGCTTTGAGAAATATATAACATTATATTTCTAGCTCTTACTAATTCTGTAAAATAAAAACATCCTAAAAATAGACATTATTTTATAAATTTCGTTACATTAGCTTACTGGCATATCTTCCGATTTACTTATTAATACTGAGATTTCTTGATGTTTAAGTTTTTCTTGCACATTTGTGCATATCAGGAGCAAAGTAAGCACTTTAATGATAGATTTATAAATATATTGTATACCTTCACCGTAATTTTATCCTATTTTTGTTCATCACAATTATTTCTGCTTCATAATTGTATTCTTCATCATAATAACTAACTGTTTATATGAAGATCTAACGACCATATTGTTCAAAACCATTTAGGATGAAAATTTCGAAATTATTTTGAATATGTTTTCTATACCACTACAAAAAAATTAAGTTTATACCTAGAAATCTCCATAAACCTTTAACAGCTTCTCAACTTCCGACTGTTATGAACCTAATTACCTGTTAACAGTGCACTGGAGAAAATAGAGCAAAGTACGTAAATGAGAAGCAAATTAGTTCTCTTGATCTTGAAAACGAATTTTCGAAAGGGGTAAGTGATGCTCGAAATAATATTTTATGACTGCGTAATAACAGATCCCCAGATATTAGATACATCGAAGAGTAACTCAGTCATCATTCAAGCGAAAGGGTGAGTTTTGTAAAACAGGTTTAAACTCTGTAACCGATATTGCTTAGACATAATGAAAAGAAGCTCCGCGTATTAATGTTGACATAATAATTCTTCATTCATATCGTAAATTCATCAATCATTTTTTGTCACACGTTGATATCACATCGTCAGCATATTTCATCTTTTTATTTCACCATACCTTCATCACAGGCCCACCAGCGGCCGAGCGGTAAAGACGCTGAACACTGGTAGTTCGGTCCGAGGTTCGAATCCCGCGAACGGGCTGGCTGCATGGGCGTTTTCGTGGTTTTTCCCCATGTGTAACGTGTATACGAGCCAGTTTTCCTTAGAAAGTCCTCCACGAAAGGCATCCCTCCCCTTAGGCAGATAGCCCTAGTGCGCTTTGCCATAATTAAATACACACACACACACACCTTCATCACAGTTTTCTATTGGCATTTAATTTGAATAAAAAATTAATATTCGATATAATATTTAACATCTGTGGCTAAAGACTCAAACATTTTAAAACATATTTAACTAACATCCGCATTTACTTCAAATAAAAATACAGATATTAACTAACTATTTACATGAAGATCTAAAGACCCCATAGTTCAAAACCATGTGGGATAAAAATTCGAAATTATTTTGAATAGGTTTTCTACATCTCCCTGAAAAGTTTAATTTTATAACTAGAAACCTCCTTTAACCTTTTATGGTTTCTCAATTTTCAAGGTACTATCAGGAACCTAATCATCTCTTAGAGTACACAGAGGAAACTGGAGCAAAGTACGCAAATGAGAAGCAAATTAGTTCTTTTGATCTTGCGAACGATTTTTCGAAAGGGGCAAGTGCTGCTTGAAAGAATATTTCCTAACGGCGTAATAAAAGACCCCAGATATTAAATGCGTTGAACAGTAACTCAGTAATCTTTGAAGCTAAAAACTGGGTTTTGGAAAACAGTTTTAAGCTCTGTAACGGATTTTGTATAAGGACGATAAAAAAGGGAACTTTAGTGCATGGTTACGTTGACAGTACAGGAACATGATGATTCAATAAGCTTTTTTAATTTGTGCGAATAGCCTATATATATATTTCATTTACTCTTTACGCCATCATATTAAATTTCGGAAGTAATTTTGTCTTACTACTTTCATTAATAAGACGAAGTTTTAATATTATTTACCTGCTACTTCAACGTTAGTAGCTATCCAATTTGGAATATAAGAGACGAAATTAATTTAAGTTATGTTATCTTAGCACAAAAGTTCAATTAAATAGAAGTTTCATTACATCTTATTCTTCAGAGTATATATGAAGTACATTCAATTATATTTCCACTATTTACTGATACTCTATAACATAATTATTTAATTAATAGAAACAAACTTACTAACGTATATGGTGAGTGCTCTCCAAAAATGCTTAATGGCATCTAGATGCATTTCTGCCTGAATTTTAAGTTAGGAAAAAATTTCTAAAAGGCTGTTACTATGGCCTTTTAGAAATTTAAATCCGCAGACACGTTGTTAAATAAGTTAAAATAGGAGAGGGATCAGGAATAAACTGTGAATATAAGGCTTGCATAACATTAGTATTTCACTGAACTTCCTTAGAAAACGTAACATAAAATTGATTCACGCTATTTATATTGTACATTTTAATTAAAAATTATCAGTATAAGAAATTATTAGCTAAATTATTTTAGTCTTGAGAAATTTCTAAATGGACTATGTTTAATCCTTTTAATGAACTATCCAAAGTGCATTCTACATATTCCATTCTGCGAAATATGAGCAAATAATTTAAAGGAAATTTATATCGCTGTTTTAAGTAGTGACTTAAGGCTATATTTATGCATTTAATTCCACTAAGTGTTTAGATTTGACTTCAGCAATTGTAAATGGCAATTGCACAAGCATGCTACTC